GAAAATCAGTAAAAAATGGTGAAGAAAGGAGGCAGTAAGAAGAAGATACCCATTGAGAAGATCGAGAAGGAAACGTCTCGAAGACCTTGTTGCTCCAAACGCTATAGCAGTAAGGGACTCTTCGGTAAAGCCTCGCAGCTCTGTCTTCTATCCGGCGGACAAATTGCCATCTTAGCTACTCCTATTTCTGAAAATTCCAACGTCTCTTTCTACTCCTTCGGGCACTCTTCTGTTGATGCCGTCGTTTCCGCTTTTCTCTCTGGAAAACGTCCTCTTTTCTCGCCAGAAAACAACAAACCCATGAGGGAAGAGATGAGTATTTGTTTGACTCGCAAGGCTCTAGGGTTAGGATTTTGGTGGGAAGACGAGGCTTATACCACATCACAAAATCCCCAAGAACTGACCGATGCGGTAGATTCCATGTCCAAGCTGTCGAAAGATGCCAAGCAATTGCGTGTGAATAATTAACTAGACTTAGACGATCATGATCAGGACATTAAGAACAACGAGATGATGAAAAAGAGCGATCATCTTGTTTCACACCATGGAACTCAAGAACCGGTTCAAACCCTAACCACTCCTGCAATTTGTTGCATCTCTCATGATTTCTTACAGAACACGGATACTGAGATCATGCCTTGCTCTGAAGATTTATGCTTTACCTGCAGAAAACTTGGATGATATTGACATGGATCTTGATCAACTCATTGATTTTGGGATGACTTATTGTCCTATGATGGGATTCTTAAGACAAGTTTTGAAAGCTTACTATCCGATGGTGTTCTCGAAAGCACCAAAGAGCTTCAGGAGTTTGCTGCTAGTCTTCTCACTAGTTCTGATTCTCATGACGACTCCATGGATCCAAGTATGTTCTCTGATTCTCAACCTGTTAAAGATGGAGATCTGGTGCTTCAGAACAGAGGTTTGAATGACGATCACCTCCACTTCTCTGACGTTTTCAATGAGTTAACTAGTTTTGTTACACTTTGAACAAAGCTTATTCATTAGTAACTTGTAACTATTTTCTTTATGTATGTAATATGTATAACCCACTACTATGTTTAGGGGTTGGTTCTGTTAACTTTGATGAGAGATGTGCTGTATTTGATGTAGCGTCCAGTTTGACCTCGATCTATATGAGGGAACTGATCGAACTCAACCGGTTCAGCTTCAGTTTGGATTAATGATAAAG